TCAGATCCTCTTGAGATGTAGAGTGGCACTTCCCTTTGGGGAAGGAGTAATAGAGTCTTCTCCTTTTGTGTCTTTCTCTAGCTCCTGTCTGGAGTTTCCAAATACACAGGCTGTTTGTCTAGCTGTGTTTTCCTTTGGTCTTGAGGAACTTTTTTCCTTGCTGAAGCAAATCCAACAATCTGCAGCCTGGGCTTGGGGAGTCAGAAGGCAAAGTATGTTTTTGGTGCAATCAGGCATGTAGACAAAGACCGGTGAGGGCCACAGGGGCATTCATACAAATGACCCCTTGCACGGAGGTGGAAGGGCAACACTGTGTGGTTTGAGACTGCCAAGTGAGGTTATAGAATGTGGACTGTCAGATACATTAAAGATACACAGACAAGAATGTCTTTCTCCCAAATGTCAGACTTGCAACAAGCTTGGATTTCCTTTGCTTTGTAAGTGTCTTTCCTCTTCTTTTTCCTGGAAGCTGAAGACAATCCCTTAATGCCAGATTTTTCCTTCTTCACTCTAAAGGCAATCTGTTCTACACCTTCCCCCCGAGTGCTGAAATGACTTTTACGTGCATTTGATCAACCATGCACCAACGTTATTTGCCAAGAAAGAAAGAAGAGAGGTAGGGGTGAGAATGCAAGTAGTAACTAACAAATTTTTGATCTTTCAGAGATTTAGAAAAGAATAAATAAAGGAAATGAGAAGGGAGCGAGCAACTGTGTTCATTTTCTCCCCTTGTTCATCCTCTGAGCATAGCGCAGCTAAGCACGGGGCTCTGGAGAAAGACACTCCTTTCAATTCCAACACCACCTGTCCCTAGCTTATGACCTTGGGTCAGTTACTTTAATCTCTCTGTACCTCTGTTTCCGCTTCAGTAAAATAAGGATAATAATAATATTTACCTGTTAAGGTTGTTGTGAGCTAATATGTGTAAACAGCTTAAAAGGGTGGCTAGTACATGGTTGGTGCTACGTATTTGCTAACCACTGCTATTTCTTCATTTTCTAGTAATTGCCTGGGTCTCTAGAGATGTGAGGCAGGAAAGGATAAGGTAAAGAAAAGTCAGGTTGGGGCTGGCCCGGTGGCAGAGTGGTTAAGTTTGCGTGCTGTGCTTCGGCAGCCCAGGGTTCGTGGGTTTTGATCCTGGGCACAGACCTACACATCGCTCATAAAACCATGCTGTGGGGGCATCCCACATACAAAATAGTGGAAGATGGGCACAGATGTTAGCTCAGGGACAATATTCCTCAAGCAAAAAGAGGAGGATTGGCAACAGATGTTAGCTCAGGGCTAATCTTCCTCACACACAAAAGAAAAGTCAGGTTCAACCTCCACTGGGTTATTTATTTGTGATTTGTAGCAATATTGTATTCCAGTCACACTTATTTCTCAATCCACATTCTTTTAGATACCATTATTGAGTTGGTTACAATAATGTTGATGAGAACTTGAATCTTTCCCTCATTTATTCATGCATCTGTATTTGTTCATTTATTGATTATTTGAGTTACGGCACTAGGCAATTTACAAACCTGTAGAGAGCAGAGAATTCTCCCCTTAAGGCATCTACAGCCATTTGGTTAATGGTATAAACCATTAACATCTAATCAGAATGATTATGTTTGGAATAGTCTGTTAAATCCCAACAAATAAAACTTATCAGAATTAAATGGTTTAGGAAAAATATTTTATGGGAAAAATTCAGTTTCTGTACTAAGAGAATGATCTCTCTAGCCATATTCACACAAGCCATCAGTCTTCAGCTGTGATCTCATGGCTCCTGTCTCTTCATCTTTATCAATACCTTCTTTTGAAATTACCTGGCATTTTCCCTTCTGCTGCGAACAGAAGCTCCCTGCTTTGAGCTTAGATTGAACACTTTCACCTCAAGTCATTCAGTAAACAGCTACTGGATGCCTGCTATGACCTAAACACCCTGAGTCTATTTTGGGCAAAAACAGTTTAGGGATTGTGAATTATATGGATACAGACCATAATTTTCCATTTCATTTTTAGATGTATTTTAACCCACAAACTCTGCCTTTTCATTTGGTATCTGGGCTTTACTGAAATGTAACAAGTATGTAGCCACTTTTCAAAATAAAGAATCTAACATGACATTTTCCCTTAAAAATCAAATAATTATTTTATTGCAAGGAAGATGACCCATGTTGATTTGGTTCTTTTTATGGGCTCAAAAAAAGCTCATGCTTTCAGTGTTTTTGAACCGCTGGCAAAATGTTATCAGGCTTTCTAATATAATTCACTGAGACCACTAATGGTGATATATCTGATGGTAATTGAAGATGTCCACTAATTGGAAAAATTACGTGACCACCTTGTACTCTGAAAAGAGAACTTATTGTTTGACCTGAGTCAGCTACTTACTCCTCTGGGCCACAGTTTTCTCATGGTAAAAATTAGAAGCTTATCAGAGGAAACGAACAGACTCTTCTCCAAAGAAGATATACAGATGGCCAATAGGCACATGAAAAGATGTTCAACATCACTAATCATCAGGGAAATGCAAATCAAAACAACACTAAGTATCACCTCAGGCCCATTAGAATGGCTATAATCACCAAGACAAAAAACAACAAATGTTGGAGAGGATGTGGAGAAACAGGAACCCTCATACACAGCTGGTGGGAATGCAAATTGGTGCAGCCTCTATGGAAAACGGTATGGAGATTCCTCAAAGAATTACAAATAGAAATACCCTATGATCCAGCTATCCCACTACAGGGAATCTATCCAACGAACCTGAAATCAACAATCCAAAGAGGCTTATGCACCCCTATGTTCATTGCAGCATTATTCACTACAACCAAGAAGTGGAAGCAACCTAAGTGTCCCTCGACTGATGATTGGATCAAGAAGATGTGGTATATATATACAATGCAATACTACTCAGTCATAAAAAAAAGACAAAATCGTCCCATTTGCAACAATATGGATGGGCCTGGAGGGTATTATGTCAAGTGAAATAAGCCAGAAAGAGAAAGACAAACACCGCATGATCTCACTCATGTGTGGAATATAAACCAACACATGGACAGAGAAAACTGTATTGTGGTTACCAGGGGCAATGGGGGTAGGGGGTGGGCACAAGGGGTGAAGGGAGACGTATATATGGTGATACACAAACAAAAATGTACAACCCAAAATTTCACAATGTTATAAACTATTAAAACATCAATAAAAAAAATTAGAAGCTTATCATGGTAAAGATTAAATGATTTTTAAGGTTCTCTTATCCCTAAATTACTAGGATTCTAGATCTGTGCTCTCCAATACGGTAGCCACTAGCCACATGTGGCTCCTGAGCACTTGAAATGCAGCTGTAAATGTAAGTGAGATGTGCTGTAAATGTAAAATACCAGATTTTGAAGAGTTAGTACAAAAAAAAGAATATAAAATATTTCAGGTATCTTGGGTTAAATAAAATATACTATTGAAATGAACTTCACCCATTTATTATTTTTTTAGTGTGGTTATAGCAAATTTAAAATTACATATGGCTTGCATTATATTAATATTAGACGGTACCACCCTAGACCTTCAAAACAAAGGGATGGAAATCTATCTTTAAGGACTTTTAATGTCTAATGGTCAGTGTTTCAATATTGAGGTCCCTATGCCTCTGAAAGTCAAGTTTTCAAAGTTAAAACTCTTACCTAACCAAAACCAATAAACCCTACATGGGCATTTACCATCAAGTTCCACTTGAAGTTACTTTGTTGAGGTCCTGTGCAAGTTCTATGGTTCCAATATTCAATGTTCAACCCCTATGGTATTGTCTCAACTACATCACAAAAGATTATAGGAAATACACCAAAATGTCAAGAGCATTTATTTCTGGGTAGTGGGGTACTAAGCGATTTTTGCATTTTTTAATTCTTTTCTCCATCTCTCAATCTTTCAACAATGAGGACTGTTAGTTTCTTCATCAGAAAAACTCATATCTTGAAATTTCAGCAGGAATGATTTTACAAATTCTATAAATATCACAAATATATAAAAAAGAGGCCAACTTAAAAGGAAATATCCCCAAATGTTTTAATCTGCTTGTCTATACTTCCAAATTTTCTATAGTTAATAGGTTACTTCCATTTAGGGAAAAAATATACCTTATTTAAAAATTGCAATATCAACCCACCCTTTTAAACCTTCAAGCTAAATTAATTTGCAGGCTGATTTTCTTAGAATTTTTGAAGCTTTTCTATCTACTGTATTAGAATGAAGAGTAGATGCTTTAGGATTTAGCTTCAATTTTGATGCTATTTTTAATATTTTCATAAATTTATTTAATAACAGCTTTATTAATAACAGTTTATTTAATAATAGCTATTTTAATATTTTTATAACTATCATCAAACAGAACAGTATTTAGTTAGAGTCCATGCAGGAGATGGGGAAGAAACTCAAAAGACATATTAATGTGCCACTGTGTCTAGGGGGTTAGGTTGTACTGCAAAGATGCCCATCTAAAGGGGTGCCATTTACATCTGAGTCCTGCAGTAACAACGGAGAGCACCCTCCTGCATGCAGTCCAGACCAGCTCAGACAGCCATGCACACACTCAGGAGGGCTCAAGGGCATGCGTGCACACACACACATGTGCACACACACAAACACAGTGAGTAGGTTTGGGCCCTATTCCCCTCCGCTGAGTATACCCTGCAGTCACTTTCCTCAGCTGCCCTTCACTCTCAGAAGCCAAACCCACCACCCTACCCACTTCAGGGACCATGGGGGTACCTGCAGTGCTGTGGTGTGTGCCCTGGTGTCAGTGTGTGGGCAGGCAAGACAGAGCCAGGTCTGCTGTCTGCCCTGCTGGCTCTGGAAAGAGCTGGGCTTCTAAAGGCCTGTCAGGTATGATTGTTTAGCCTGGCAGTGTTATACTCATTTAATTTCTTTTCTTCTTGAGGAAAAGTGTCTTTTTCCAATTCCCATGAGGCAATGGCCCTTTTGACCATGGCACTTCTAAGCTCAGCAGAACTTACTGTTGGTAGTAAAGATGATTTCTCCCTCCTGTGGGGTGGGATCTGTATCCTGGACCACCTGTAAGGCTCCCACAGTCCGGACAGCAGGGTCCAAAGTGACTGAACTTTCATTTACGGTCGTGTCGCTCGCACCGGTGATCTGGTTGGTTGGTGGACCTCCCAGAGATCCCTCGAAGTCGGTGGGCAAGTCGTCCATGCAGTCGGCATTGGGCTGCCAGGAGTAGAAAAAGATCTCGTCTTAGTGTATGTCATCAAGTTAGAGATGAAGTGTCTATAGCCTAAATATTTTGTCTCCATGAAAAACCAAGTTCTTTACTGTTTTCTTCCCGAACCATTTTATTTAAAAATATTCCACATATAGTTTCTGTAATTAACATGAAAACATCTTCCAAAATTTCCTTTCCAAGGGTTCCATTTAAATCTAACACAAGGTTTTAATTCCAAAAGTAGCAATATCCAAATATTAATAATAATTACTCAGGGGGAATAACATTTATTTATAATGATAGCCCTTCCTTATATATAGTGTTTACTACTCATATAGGGAGTAGCTGACAGCCTAATAATTACCCCCAAAGACCCATGCATTGTTTGCAAATGCAGTGATGACATGAGATGGGGATAGAATCTGACTCATTGTGAACTGTTAATCAGAGATACACATATACACAGAAACATGCACACAAAAGCACAGGGTGAGGCTATTTTGTTGTTGTTGTTCAACATAAGCCAAAAAACCAGCTGTAGAAAAAAGTCCTATTTACTCAACATGCAATTGATCACACATTTGTTAATTCCTCTAAATTAAAATCTTAGAATCATAAAACTAGAGTGAGACCATCTAGTTTAATTATCCAGTCATTGCAAGACTCCTTCCCCTCAATATCCCTGACAGCTCCACTTGAACAACACAGAAATAGGAGCTCTTTGCTTTGCAAGGCAGCCTGCGTTGGCCAGCTTTGGTAGACTATTCTATTATTGGCCAACTTTGCAAGTTTTACTCTTTGGTAGTTCTCCTGTTTGAAGTGATATTGAATATATTTATACCTCTTCCACAAACAGCTTTTTAAGTGACTTTTAGTTGTTATGCCTCTACCCAAATTCATAAAAATTATATTTAAAGGTGGTGGTAGAGAGATATGGTTTTGAGAAATACTTAGAATAGCTATTAAATTGTTTTCTCTGGTCTGAACATCAACATTGCCTTGCGTGATGATAATTACTACACGGTTTTGCATTGCCAATGGTTATAGATCAGGATGGGCAGGATTGGGTGAGGAGAATTTGGGCTGACATTGACTGAATTAATATCACAATGGCTACACTGTGTTCAAAGTTCATTAAGAGAGAAAATCTACAACTCATGGACTCATTGGGAGCACAAGGCAAGAAATTCAAAGAGCTGGACTCTTGTCCTGGTTTTCTGCTCTTCAACCAGTCTCCTGAGCTCCACACTTGTGTTTGGAAATCTCCATCATCCCACAAATCCTCAAATTCAGCTCATTCCCTTTTCTCTGTATTGTCTCTCCTTTTTGCCTTCTCCATCTCTATAGAAAGGGAGACAATTTATTGAAACTCAAGCTGTCAAAAGTCAATTCACTGAATGACCGATCCACCAAATTTACTGATTGTGATATTGGACATGAGCAGGTATGTTATTAACATTTCTCTCCCCTTTATCAGTCTCCCTTCAGTTTCTTCCCCAGTAATATTCCATTCTCCACTTTCTCACCAGAACATTCTTTTGTAAAAACACAGTTATGATTCTTCTTTTCTCCTAAAGGATGAATTATAAGCTCCTTAGCATGGCAAAACAGACACTCTACAGCCTTGCCCCAGCCTACTTTTCTGGCCTCACCTTGGCCTTTGGAAACACACATAAGATACCACCTATTTCCTATCTCAGTGCTTTACTTATGCTGTTCCTCTGCTCAGGATGACATCTGCCCCAATCAGCCCTCTCCCCTTTCTCATCACAGGGTCTCAAACTAACCCTGGTGAACTCCTAATCACCCCTCAATTCCCTGGCCAAATGTCATCTTTTCTGAGTAGGTGCACCTTTTCTCCCTGCCTGGTGGTCATTTTGATACTCTAACACTTTATTTGCACTTTTCCCACTCTGTTATGGTTGTTACTGTGTTCGTCTCACTCTACTAGTCCACAAGTTTTTTTTTTCCAGTTTTATTGAGAAATAATTGACATGTAAAATTATATTAAAAGCACACAACATAATGCTTTGATATATGTATATATTGTAAAGTGATTACCACAATAAGTTTAGTTAACATCCATTACCTCACATAGTTACAAATTTTTTTTCTTATGATAAGAACTTTAAGATCTACTCTCTTAACAACTTTCAAATACACAATACAGTATTGTTAACTATACTTACCATGCTGTACATTACACCCCCAGCACTTATTTATCTTATAATTGGAAGTTTGTACCTTTTGACCCTCTTCACTCACTTTGTCTACCTCCCACCCCCTGCCTCTGGCAACCACGAATCTGTTGTCTGTTTCTCTGAGTTCAATTTTTTAAATCCCACATATAAGTGAGACACAAGCTGTTTAAAGTGAAGCAACTACATTATATAGGTCTTGAATTCCAAGCCCTCACATAGTGTCTGACAAATTATTAAGTGCCTAGTAAGTACTGATTTGAAAATCTTATCTGAGTCTCAGTTTACTGCTTTGAAAACTTAGGAATGTTAGTATCAGCACTAGACCAATTAAGGGAGGATTTGAGAAAATACTTTAAAAACTGTCAAGTTTTGTACAAAGGTAAGGCATGCTATTCAAGGGTAGCAGAATACGCCACCCCAAAATATGCTCCACTGGCATGGATTATTTTGAGCTGAAGACAACTGAGAAGAAGCAGATAAAGAAATGCTCTCTCCCCTCCCCTCTTTGCCTAAAAGCAGGACATAAATTTGTAAAGGTGTCCCCTACTCCTTGTACCAAGAAGAACATTTTTATGACCAGAGACTGGGAGTTGACACCAAAATGGATCTGTACAAACAAACCTTACTAACATGCCCTTGTCTGCCATTAGCTTCCCCCCTTATATTTACCTTCCCATAACTTGCTGCCCTAGGAACTCAAAGCCTTTTTCTTCTGTGTCGTCACCTCTCTGAAAATTTCTTATTCTTTTCTTAAGATGCTATGTAAGCCCAAGTTCTAACCATCCCTTTGAGTTACTCATTGTTAAGTGCTCCCATGTGTATGTGCGATGCATGTGTTAATAAACTTGTTTGATTTTCTCTTATTAATCTGTCTTTTATGAGTCTAATTTACAGGGCCCCAGGTGGACAACCCAGGAAGGTAGAAGGAGAAGTAAGTCCTCCCCCCGACACACACTATGTGAAGATGCTTATAAGCAAAACCAGTTGGGTGTGGGATATCAGGGAGGAAAGACTTCACAATGAGGACACTGTGCTGTTTATTCTTTCAGCCATAAGCACCTGAATGCAATCATATATGCATCAGCAATTGACATTTTTCAAAATGTTGATTTTTCTTGTTGATATTGTTCCTTTGTTTTCTTTCTTTTCTTTTTTTAAAAAAATTGTTTGTGGCCTAGTGGTTAAGTTCAGTGCGCTCTGCTTTGGCGGCCTGGGTTTGGTTCCCAGGTGCGGACCTACACCACCATGCTGTGGTGGCCACTCACATACAAAATAGAGGAAGATTGGCACAGATGTTAGGTCAGGGCAGATCTTCCTCAGCAAAAAAAAAAATTATTTGATTAATTATGATGCGGCGTGTTTCCTTTTACTTTGTGGACTAGTGGGAACAGTATTATATCTTTAATGGAGGGGGGAGAGGGAAAGAGAAAGAGCTATTTAGCTCAGTGAGACTGTTAATGGTAGCAGGAATGAATAATTTGGCTTAGATATGATATTTAATAGACCATCCTTACACAACCTCACAGTTTATATCTACTCTAAGTGGTTCATCAAATAGAATAATATTTTGAAAAGAAACCCAATTTATATACCTCTAAGAGAAATTATAGTCATAATGTTTAGTAAAAGATGTCAAATACCATCTACAAGTGAACATGGTATAGGTATTCAAATTCAAGTTAGCATGAGGAAGGTCCTCAAAAAAACCCAACTGCTAAATAGATAGGGACTTGTGAATACACTAGCTACATTGGATTTTCTGTTCAATAACAATCATCCTATTCATACCAGGATAAGAGTGACAGGAGCAGGTGTTTGCTGGGGTATGAAAGGCCCAGGTTATATGGTATCTTATAGGAGTACTCACGGAAACCTGTGTTCTGTCATCCTATAAAGACTCGCCTAGGCCTGACTGGAGAGAAAGGAGGGTGAAGTACTGTAATGGAGATAAAGGGATGAAAACACTTCTGACAATAAAGGACTTTTTTCTCCCCTTTCAGTTCAGGATTTTACTTCTCTTGGCAAAACATAATGGAAAAAGATCACATTGTAATGGGAATTTCATGATCTGCGAACTATGCCCTCATTCTTTAGCTCATTTTAGAGAAATCCACTTACAAAATGAAAATGTCCCTAGCTCTTAGCTTTCACCTTATATTTATTTGCCTTACAGCACAGGCAAGCATAAGGATACTCAGTTAAAAACAAAAACAAACAGAAAAACCTCACCACTTGTATTTGGACAATCTAGTGGATCAGGATTACAACCAAATCATTGGTTGTAATTGAGTGGACATTGTTCAAAGGAAGATCAAGGTGAGTTTCATGAATCAGATTCTGTGACTACAGCCTTCAGACTCTGAAGGCCTACAATGCCACAAACATTTATTAAGTACTTAGCACGTGTAAGGGACACAGACATAAGGACCAACAGGCACCAATTATAAGACAGACTGACAGGATTTCTTCAATTTTCCTTGATTAAGAAGAAATGGAATATAAGGAATTTAGGAAAATTGTAAAATAATTTCTTTATGCCACATAAGAAAGGTTTCAGTTAGCTATAGGAAGTGTTTTCTAGTTGAGAAGGCTGGGCGCTTGTCCAATGACATGGAAAGTTATAAGAATGGAGTGAAGACTTCATCTCTCTGGTATAATTTAGGCATGGCGCTACCCCACGGCGAAGGACGGAGTGGGGTACATTCCTCCCAGATCCAGACTTGAGTATCATGCTCTAGGAAAAAAACAGAAAAGCCTCAGGAAGGCACGGAGGGTAGCCATATGCCTTGGTGCTTCGTGAGAAGAAGCACCCTACGCGTGCCATCTTCTTCACGGAGGATGTTCTGTTCTCTAGGGGGAGCTTGGATGTATGTCATGTTCCTGTTCGGCTGGCCTTTAAGAATCCTTGACAAAATCAAAAAGATGCTACTGATGTTTATTTTTCTGAAAGTCAAGTGTGCTAAGTAAAATCCTATCCAGACTTGCTAGGCATCAAGCCAGAATGCCCACTGGTAAAAGTCAAAATGTTATTAGTTTTGGAAATAAGCCAAAAGGCCACCCAATAATTGTATTTTAAAAACAATGAATAGCTCTAAACTCAACTCATTTACAAGTAGCTTCTGGAGAAGTTATACTTCCCCAGGGAAAGTCTGGAGTCAAATGCTATTAGGACAAAATTTAACCACTGGGGGTGGTTTGGTTTCATTCTCTCAACCAAGAAACACTGGGATCGACACTTAGGAGCTTTGAAAATATCCTGAGCAATAGGAACTAGGTCAAACGATGTGACTGTCTACTTTTAATTGTGAGTGTTTTAAAGATTCTGAAGACCAAAGACATACATATACACATGCAAGCACACACGTACATATATTTTCCCTCTCCCTTGTAAGAACTAGTTACAGCCATAAATGTGAAAACTGCAAACACTAGTTCAATTTCCGAAGTCACCAGTATCTGGTAGAGATGTTGGGTTTTTACTAATGTTTCATGTTCACTGTAATTGATTTTCACCTTGAATGCATTATGCATTTACAACTCTGGTCTGAAAATTTAATGCATGGCTCTTCAACCCTAGCTCAGAGCTATATGTAGTCACACAAGTTGATTTGTGTCTGGTGTATCAACTGTGAAAATCAGCATACAGCTGGCATGGAGACAGCTAGTACAGGGTAGAAAATTCAGCCAATGCACGACCTCATCATGCTTCAGGTGTGCCTTCTCCAACAGAGTCACTCTGATGTTCCTAGGATAATTAGCCCTTTGGCATTAAAGAAAACCTTTGATATCTGATCTGATCCTTCCTTCTTCAGTGACATCTTGGGACTACTGACATTCGCTTTATTGTCTGCCATTAGTAGTGAGGAGTGACAACAGGGAGCCTGCAACAAAGTTGGGGGGGAGGGAGAGATGCTGCTTTCTGGACCCTGTTTGTCTAGCTTCTTTTAGACAGTGCCTGCGTTTTTCTCATATCTCTCTGTGCAGCCCTCAGATTTGGTGGCCTGGTTTGCTTCCTGCCCTCCCCACAGCAGCTGGTGTCTCACTTGATATGGTCCTGGGAAAGTCTTCCTGCAGCATCAAGCCAGCCAGCTGGTGGGATTCTCTCTGCAATGGGGAAGAGACTAAATTTATAAAATGTATAACTGAGGGGACCAGCTTGATGGAAGCACTAGAATTAAGTGGCTCTGGCTCTGGTTTCCTGCTCACTCAAGTTCTCCACAGAGATCTGAGTTCAGCAGAGGCTCTGAGCCAGATTCCCAGCAGCTGTCTTCCCCTCCCATTGTTGGGAAGAGCTCCTTTCCTCTGAGAGCTAGGTGATTGTGGGGCAACATCAGAAAGTGTGGCACGCAGATCTCCTTGATGACAGCGCAGGGGTAATGACACAAGAGGTAATCAATGCACAACTGGCCGGTCAAGCCTCTGCTGGTGTCCCGCCTGTACTCACACACTGCAGCCCAGATGAGAAGCCCGTGAGCTGCATAAGCAGCATCCTGACTCACAGACAAAGAAAATCGACATGGTGAGAGGGTCGTGATGTTCTCAGATTCAGAAAAAGTGAGAGGAGAAGTGCTTTTGGACACGGGAGTACTCTTGGGGCCTCGTGAGATGACACCACTGCTATGGGGTTGAGGCGACACAGAAAATCCAGGGATGATGTTTTCTCCCTGCTTTGGGAGTAATGCAGAAAGACAGACATGACGATGCTGTAGGCTGTGCTGTGCTTACCGGGATCCCTAGGGCTTTAAGAATGTTCATCTTGCACATGGGACAGGTGCGATGGTCTAGAAGCCAGGGGTCAACACAGGACTTGTGGAAAAGATGCCTGCAATGAGAACCATACATCTTAGAGCGGCAGTCACTGCAGAGACTACCTAGTCCCCTACAGCCCAGAGCCCTGTCCAGGGTCACTCAGCTGCTCAGTGGCAAAGCCGAGACTTGAACCTCTGTCTCCTAACCTCCTGGGCCAACTTCCTGCTATACCCTGTGGTGATGTCCAAATTGGTCTGGATCCCAGGAGTGTACTATAGGATAGAAAACCGAATCTTCCAAGTTTCAGAAATGGAGAGAACATAGAAACTGAGAGATTTTTCTCTTTCTCAATAGAAAGAAGGTTTCGTAGAAAGAACGCAAGTAGAGACACTGGTACAGACCTTTCAGGACACCTCGATAGAAGCTACTTGTAAATAAATCCAAAGTTTCTTTTCCCACAGCCAGAAGACAACTGCAAAATAAAGGCTCATTTCCATTAATATTTGAGGGTCTAACATAAAAGGGCAGAAGAGCTCCTGGAAGCATTTAACAACACAAATGACATTTTAAGTTGTTATGGCCGCTGGTTGTCAAATCAGAAGCCGAGTGAAAGGTACTGTAACATTTCCTGATGTGTTCAACTCTACTGCCACGTTCATGTACCAGCCCTTGGGAGCCTTCATCTGAGGGGCAGGATGAGGGGGGCATTTAGTAGGTGCAGGAAGGCCTCCTAACTGAACTTTCTTTCAACTTGGCTTACAAGAGCCGACTCAGCAATACCAGGAAGTCCGAAGCTTTTCTTCTCACTCACAAGACTCCAGACCACAGGCAGAAGCAGTCAGAATTTCTCGCCTGGGGCAAGAAGAGAGAGAACTGTCTGTCTTAAGTATGAGGGCTTCTCTAGGACATTCCATCCACGCCTGACTCTCTCTCTCCTCAGTGGTGCACTATCCTGGAAAACTTCTATTCTCTCTCACTTTCGTCTTCTTTTGTTCTAACAGTTTTCTTTGTGTTAGAGAGCTTCAGGCTCAAATGCTGAAAAAGGACCTCCACGTTAGAGAAGCGTACAGGAAGTGCCACCTTTTAAATTGAAATTGAAAAGAACCCATGTGCCAAGGATGGGATTAGCTATATACAGGATATGACCAGATTAGGGATTAGAAAAAGGACAGGAGTAATCTGGGTGTGTCATTATGTGCCCAGATCGTGGTCTGGAAAGCCTGCAGATTTACTGCTTGGAAGCCATACATCACATTAATTCATTCCTTTATCCATGCATTCAACAACAAGTGGTATATGCCAAGAATCCTGCTCAGCACCAGGAATCAGTGTGATAGCGATTTGGCTCCTTCTTTTAGGGTGTAAAACAGGAGACGCAGACATTAATAAAATAATATAAATAAACTATTTAATGTCAACAGTGCTAAGTACCATGTTATGACAGGGAGCTTGAGGGGGCTTATAACTGGGAGATTTATCCTAGTTTGGGTCCTCAGGGAAGGTTTCCCAGATAAAGTGCCAAAACTAAGGTCTGAGGGGTACACAGACATTATCCACTTGAAGGGGAGGGGAGAAGGGTATTTCAGGCAGAATGATTGGCTCATACAAAAGCCCTTGGCTGAGCGGAAAGAAGGCCAGTCCCAGGGCCACGAGAGATGTGAGGGAGAGGCTGACATTGGATGAAACCACCTCCCGCCCCCGCCAAAAGCAATATGCACCTCCCCGTGTTCAGGCTGTGCACTCAGGAAACAAGTTCCTAATCTGAACTTGCTTACCAGCTGGTGTCCCTTCTGGGAAAGAAGTCAACATTCTGGTCCCTTTGACTGTTCCCAGGAGGCAGGCCTCTGTTGTGTTTCCTGCACATATGCTGGAGTCAGAAAGACGGCAGGGCCAATCATTAGCTGTTTTAGCTTAAATAAGTCACTTGGTAACCCCAAGTTTCAGCTGCCTCATCTGTAAGATGGAGCTCTATCTGCTCACGCAGAGAAACCTTCCCTGAGTCTCCAATCCACAGAAGCCAGTGGTTAGTCAATAACAGCCTGAGTTATTTCCCTCCATCCACTGGTCATTCTTACATCTCCTTTGTGATGGTTAGTTTCATGTGTCAACTTGGCTAGGCTACAGTGCCCAGTTATTCAATCAAACAGTAATCCAGGGGTGTTTTGTAGATGTGGTTAACATCTACAATCAGTTGACTTGAAATAAAGGAAATTATCCTAAATAATCTGGGTGGGCCTTATCCAATCAGCTGAAAGACATTAAGAGCAAAACGGAATTCCTGGAGAAAGAAGAAATTCTATTTCAAGACGGCAGCATCAGCTCCTGCTCAGTTTCCAGCCTGTAGGTCTGCCCTACAGATTTCAGATTTCCCAGCCCCTAAAATTACATAAGCCAATCTCTTGAAAAATATCTATCTATATTTATATATATAAATATAGTGGGATGCATATAACCTACTGGTTCTGTTTCTCTGGAGAACCCTGACCAATACATCCTCCAATTAGAATATAAGCTCCATGAAAGCAAGATCCTTGTTTCCCCAATTCACTGTTGTATCCCATCATCTAGAATAGTTCCTGGCACACAGATGACGCTCAAGCAATATCTGCTACATGAATGAATATTCATCAGAGGACCTGGACCCCTCACTGCCTGCACATGGTTATCAAGTCCCATGGATTCACTATTCCTAAATCCCTTTCACATTCATGGCTTCTTTTCCTTTCCCAACGCCGCTCCCTCATTCATAATCTCATTAATTTTTTTTCTGTATTACTGCAGTACCATCTAACTGTTCTCCAGCCACCAGTCTTTTCCTGTTCTTTTCATCCCACTCATCCTTGCCAGATTTATCTTCCTAAAATAAAGCACTAGTTACGTCACCCCTTGTTCCACTCTGTTCTGTGCTAGGAGCTGGGTCCAAAGATGAATAAGACAAGGTCCCTCCCTTCAAGGCAGTACCACAGTCCTTCAGTGGTTCCCTGTGAATGACAATGTAAAGGCCATTGAAAGGCCACGTTCTTGGATCCATCATTTTCCGGCTGTTTGATCTTAGACAAGTCTCAGCTCTCCAAGATTCAGTTCTTTATCTGTGAAATTTTATCTTTGCAAGTGAATGAGTCTGTGTGTGTGTGTGTGAGAGAGAGAGAAAGAGAGACAGAAAGAGAGAGAGAGAGAGAATAAATAATGCCCACAGCTTAAAACATAAGTCCCAGCCCTCCTTAATTATAAGCTACGACTAATCTTATTAACACCACTGTATTGCATCTTGGTTTTTTTGATATATATTATTACTCTGATTTCTACTCTTTAGGATAACCTTTATAACATTGAAAGCAAGTAACTGCAAATTTAAAAAAATCAAAGGAAGAACCAAGGGGAAAGAAAGTGTTGAAATGACATTACAGTGATCATGCTGATTATTAACTAACATTCATTTATATCTAGCACCATATTTCTTGTGTTGTTCATCAAATATGAAGACTATATCTTTATAATTGGGATTGCAAAACAATTTTTCCCTCCCAAATAGAAAGAAAAATAAAAGTCACTAGACTAAATAAATAAAGGAATAGGGAAAAAATCTAGAGTTTAGTGAAATGCACCAACAGTGTAGTAAGGCAAAGCCAATCTCAACTCATCCTATTTGTACAATTTGCAGCAAAGCGCTGTCCCTTCCCGTGTTTTAACAAAGGCTGCGTGAGAAAGGACACCGAGAGGAGCCACGAGACGAGATATTCTCTCTCTTCACAATCCTGACAAGCTGGAAATACAACAGAGGGCTGACAAAACTCTTCTCCTTCCTTTCACCAAAGGGAAGCAAACATTTTAGAAAGAGTTCTTCAAACACCTGACAAAAGATGACACTGACAACTGCGTAATGATGCCAAGATGATTATAAATAATAAGTTCTCACATTTTTTAGCAGTAAGGACAAACCCAGTTAAACTCATCTCCACCTCTATTGATTCTTCTTTTCTGTTGTCTTTTCACCTACATGTGTGACTCTTTCCCCAATTAAATGACATTTTTTTCCCACCTGGAGGAGGAAGGGGCTATTCTGGCCTTTCCATCTCACTCTCTTTTGTAGGCTTTGTCAGACCCTGCCACCCTGCCCTTGACATTAGGATCCTATGGCTTTCCTTTCGGCACCAGTGCAAGCTGTTTCATTCCCCTTGGTGAAATAGTTATCAAAGAACATGAGTCACTCAGGGACCTAAGAACCCCATTCTCTCAGGTAACATAAACTATTGAAATAACATACATCCAGCGCTTCGTTGGATAGCCAAAACGTTTCTTTAGAGACTCTGAATCTTATTTGCAAAGTTATCAATGAAGTAAGACGGTATTTTAAATTAATAAACACTAATTTAATTTAATCAATAAATATCTACTGGTTATTGAATGCCTACTATGTACCAGGCATGTTACATCCATTATTAATTCACAACCTATGAGGTAGGAATTATTATTCCTAGTGTATGGAGGAGGAAACTGAAGCTCATTAAAGCAAATTATCCAAAGAGCTAGTAAGCTGCAGAGCTCTCACTCAAAGCCAGGCCTACAGTCAGTGTTATCCTATTCTACACTCCATGACCCCTCCTTCCCTCACCGAACTGTCATGGACAAGGAGAGGGGGAGTTGGAGGAATTCAAATTTTTATTCTTTCCCAAGGTATTTTTTTGCTCCAGCTTCAAGGAGGCAATATCTTAGTTACAGAGGTTGGGGATCAAGCAAAACCACAGGGAAAAGTCATCTCCCTTAAGTGTATTCGCTTGGCTACTGAAGAGAAAAGCTGTCAAATATTGGCCTCATCAGGCCTGTACTTAGATATCAGTCTTCTTGATTTATTTGTGTAGAGGATAACACTGGCTTCTAGATGCTTTGAACTCCCCCATTCTCCACTGCCCAACGGATGTGGGAAATGTTGAGTTGGCAGCTCCATCAACTTTCTGCAAAATTTTCAAATTTGTATCATGAAGTGCCGTGAAAAGTAATATCTACTTTTTTTACAAGGCTCTTCTCGACCTGGTCTGGTTTCTCTTTCTTGCCTTACCTTCCTAAAATACAAAT